CGAATCACACCCTGCTTCGAGCCAATATTTAACCGATGGTTTCCAGATGCGTTGCGAGGAATAATCCCACAAGCTCTTCGAAATTTCCATACAACATATACAGTGGCGTGAAAAGGGCGCAGTTATGGTCACAGGATTCATGCTCAGAGAGATTTCCATATCGAGGGGAAAAGGGGTTCATGATAGTATGAGAAGCCTGTTGATGACAATTTTGTAGTGGGAAGATGGGTCAGGCGTAACAGTACTTGAGTTATAGGCAATTATTTAATAGTGGGTAGAGAAGTGTGAACGTGCATGCTACGATCGGGTTTATTTATTTGCAGATTGGATTGAACTCATCCATGCGGAAGTAAGAAAAAGCTCGCCCACAAAATTGTCATACATTCAGCTGTCATCGTATTCCTAAATCAGTAAATCGTAGTAGTACAAAAACGATAATTTTAATAATGAAAACTCGTCCGTGGAACAATTTTCAAACAAAATCTAGACGTACATATCGACGTATCCCACAAACTTTCGAAATCGAGATTTTTATCGATTTCAAATGAAAAAGGGTATTTCTATCATGTGACGATTTATCGTAGCTAACCTGCTAATAAAAACACCATTTTTGCACATATTCTAATATGTCGAATCTAAATCAGCTGTTATTTTCGGTTTCAATAAGCTGTATCTTTATAATCTCTCTTTATTTGACCAATTAATGCAATCTATGTTTTTTTTTTGTAATAAAGCTTTACGCCAGATTAAGTGTCTAAGAAATATTATCAGAAATGTATAATTCGATTCTAAAGCGTCATTTGTTTATTGCTCGGAAGTTTGATTAAAAAGTAAGGATTGGTTACAGCATATTGGATCTTGTAACTGTTCTGTTGGTATATGATAAATTAGAATTGATGTACTATAATCCCAATGCTAAAGGGTCCTCTAGATGTTTATTTCTGACGTTCTTTAGCACTTAAGCTGGATTTTTGTCACCGATACTACCACACAGGGTACTCATGGCTTCACTCTGTCATCCACTGACACATAGGCTGCGTTTATTACACTGAGCTGCTGGTCTTTCGCACTATCTTGAATACGCTTCAGCAGGCTGCATTCATTGTCAATGATTATCAGTTTATTGTAATGACATTATAAGACATACTCAAGGGTTGTGTTTGGGTCGCATGATCGAACGTTACTGACATCATTAAAAACGTCTGTGAGCTAGCTCCAAGGGATCTGCGGTACTGCGACATGATAACAATTCAGATAGATCCACTTGGCGCATTCTATAAAGTGACATCTAGCAAATGAGCTACAGCATTACCCTAAATAAACGAAGCGAGCATGAAGGAGTGTTGAATATTCTAACCAAACCGATTGCGTTGTGGTCAGGTAGTTGTGGGTACCAAAACAAAAACCGCATATTGTCCAATGCCTTGTCTCTATTAGCCATATGGTATAATATAACGATTGAGCAGAAGTATCTGGAAAAGGGTCATATTCAAATGGAGTGTGACTCGACTCATTGTCTCATTGAAAGGCGCCTTAGATGGAAAGACACACATTTGCCTACCGATTACATAAACCTAGTTAGAGATTCGATCATTCCCTTTAACGATTCTGAAAAGTAGTGTCTGAAGATGTAGACTTTTACGATGCACTCCAATATGAAGGAAGTACGGAGAAGGTAGAATAAACTAGGAAGTCAAACAACGTCGAAGAAGAACCAGAATAGTCGTCGGTGGCAATGATAAACTAAAAAATGAAGGTATAGCAGCTAAGAGTTAGAAAAAAATTGTTCCTTGGCTCACTAACAAAACAAAATTTTAAAGTGTTCTAACAGTTCTACAAACTCGAGGAAAGTAGATAAGGTGAGTGTATCCATAATTGATAAAGAGTCAGGGAAACCTAATTTGGAAAATGGCGGTAATCAGAAAAACGCAAAAGACGGTAAAAGGTATAACCATTTTTTATTAAATCTATTTATTCCAGAAAAACAAAGAATGATGCGAATAAATCCAAAAACAAGAAACAAAATTGACTCATCCAGGATTCCTTTACTCTGTTGCTAATTACCGAGCTTGTGTCTACTGTACGAAGTCGCCAGTCTGGATTTGTTTTTATTTTTTATTACAAGATAACAATTGAAGTTGTATGATCTCATATTTGTATGTTTTCCTTTGTTGTTATCAAATAATAAACGATTATGTAACGTTAAAATGCTGTTTCAAACAAAATTATATTCACACAATATGCTGTGTCCCAGTTAGTTTCCTAGCTTTCATATAGAATAAGAAAGACATAACCCACTGTGGAAGACAATCAGGTCGTATCAAACGTAATGAGCAAATGCTAATACTTAGCCACATACAAGGCTACTTGTCCATATTTTGTCTAAAACAGATAAAGCTAATCTCAAATGTGATGATAAAAACATCTAACAGCCTTAAATGACAAAGTAATCTTGAGTCAATCGTTTTTTCTTCGTACTGTAAAACTAGCTTCTTGTCACCTAATTTAAGTGTTCAAAGTTATGTCCATAAACCACATACCTTGTGTCTGCCAATGAACGGTAGCTATTTCATAATATGTGAGATCGCAGGATATTTAAGCCCTCAGTAATTGTTCCTCAAAGTATGAGAGATGGTCACATTAGACAGGGCTCGAAGTGGATTAACCTCTCATCACGTCGCATGGGACACACCGTCCAGCATATGCTACAGGATAGAAGCAATCCTCGGAAGAACTTTAAAATGTCCGAATTGGTCGTAAAGTGGGATTATCGTCAACGCTACGTTGCCTCATTTAACGGTTCTGTTGAAAAAATCGACGTGGAACATGGCCTTATGGGTTGTAAAACTAGAGTAAAATCGGACAATAAAAGTTTACCGTCGAGAGATCATTTTCAAGTTAATAAAAGTTACATGAACATACGTGAGAAGGCCCAGAAATAAAGTCATTGGTCATCTTTTAATAGACTAGTTTTCAAGAGTAGCTTGCGATAGTGATGTCTAGCTTGTTTAGCTTTAGTTTGGATAATCCAATTTCTGTAACAAATAAATAAGAAATAATGAGATTCGTAGAAGCAGGAAGCTCATACACGATAGACGTATTTTAAATTACACGTAAAAAAATTAAATGCTGACTCTGGCGAAACACCGTATGTGCGAGGCTTGTTCAATTAAAACTCGTATTTGGTCAGGCTAGCCTTGGAAACAATTCTAATCACTTAAGAGGGATTCCAGATAACGCGCGTACGACGCGCGTACGCCTGGCGCTCGCTTTGAAAATACACAGAAATGATACTAGCTGTTCACATGGACGCGCGAATGAGAAATCGTACGCGCGTACGACGCCACGAGACGGAAATCTCCATACACGCGTCGTCCAGCGTCAACGCGCGTATATTGAAATACTAGACGTTCCTATTGCCTGTTCAGTTGGCGCGCGGCCATTCTGGTGTTTAGTAGATATACCTGGTGTGTCTACCAAAAATGTCTTTGTCACGTATTGTTCCACAATGCAAGCAGAATTGAACACAGATCTTTTCATTGATGAAATTGAAAAGAGGCCTGCGATGTGGAACCTGCATTCCAAATTGTATGCAAATAAAACAGCAAAAGGAAATGCCTGGAAGGAAATGGTCCTAACTTTTTGCAAATCGGATGATACCGAGGAAAAAAAGAAAATATTAGGAAAGTTTGAACAAATGCGTTATTTATAATCAGTGTTACAATAAAGATAATTCGAATCATTCTATCGTGCCATTCCAGTTTTCCTTCATTCAAAAAATAGTTTATCAATTTTTCCCGAACCCCATCTGCATCCTGTAGATTACGATCAGTATGTAAACGATTCAATGTTGCCAGTGGTGCTGCGTTTAGTGTATCTTCAAAATGATGTCCATCATTAATTCGTATGTAATTTTGTAAAATACATATAGCTTTAACAATGCTCTCTGCGAATTCTATGTTTACATCCAATGGCCGGTGTAATATTCGCCATGTGTTACACATAATACCTAATGCACATTCAACATAGCAGCGTGCTAATGTTAACCTATAGTTGAATACTTTTTACATCATGCCAAAGGCTTCGTCCGCTACTATAACATATGGTAATTTTTCCTCCTTATTCTCTATTATTTTAAGCGTTGCATCAGGTATATCCAGTGACCTTTTTGTTAGCTTCTTGTAAAGCGTGGACTCTTTGAAAACTCCCGAGTCGCTGTCTTTACCATAAGTACCGATGTCTACCCAAATAAAACAATAGTTTGAGTCACATAGCGCCATTAATACTAAAGAAAAATAATTTTTATAGTTATAATACATTGAACCTGAATATGCTGGTTCTTTGATTCGCACGTGTTTCCCATCCAGAGCTCCGATGCAGTTAGGAAACATTGCGTGTATTTAAATCCACCTGATATTTCCTTCCACTTTTCTTTATTTGGTTTTTTCATGACATCGTTTTTCATTTTTTCCCATATTACTTGGCAAACGTGCTGAATTATTCCACACAAGGTAGATTTTCCTATCTTGTAACTGTAATGTAGTTCGCTAATAGAACATCCACTTGCCAGGTATCTAAAAAATGATAAACTAATGAACTTATTTTGTTTTAAGGTCATCATTACAAAAAAGTGGAAAAATTTACGAGATAAATATGTAAGGGAATTAAAAAGAAGTACATTGAAGTCAGGCGCGGGTGCATCAACCCAAAGCACATATATATATACAGGTATATATATATATATACTTTAACCCCCTCACATTTCTTCAAACAACAACCACAAAAAATGATACCGAGAGCAGTTTTGAAGACGGTGTTGATGCCCCTTTTGAACCTCCGGATACCCAGCAATGACAGAAAAACATTAGGCTCCATCCAGCTGACGACTATTTCGCCAATATAATAGAGAAAAGCTTAACTAATAAACCTGCAGTAGCAGAAGATGAAGATAAACATTTTTGTTTATGTTTATATAGTCAGATAAAAAAGTGCCCGCAAACATGAGACTAAAATTAAAAATTGATATCTTTAACCTCGTCTTAGGAAGACAGCAAGCACCCCCGCAGATGTCGAATGTTGCTTATCATGCAGAGCCGTCAACATCAAGGAGTTATTCTCATGAAGCACTTGGACAGCAATATAGTACGCCCCACTCGGAGTATCAGCTAAATAGTTACTCAAATACTCCGTATGATACTCGATCATATACATCAAACCATCAAACCTATCCTAGCAATGTACAAATACAAACAGTGATACCAGTACCAATTCCATCGCCGTCTGCTTCAACTAATGTTAGTGAAAATTCTCAGGAGCCATCAGAACTGGACTTATTCACAAATACTGACACATACCGACTAAACTGACGTTTTGTTTTCATGAGGAAGGAATGTGTTTAGTTTAAATTAGCAATGCATTTTGATTTTGGTTTATTGAATATTATCTAGTTTGTATTTCGAATATGACAATAAAACATTTTTCCTGACTTACCTTAGTGTAACAATGAGTTTTTCTTCTTGTGAAATGCAATACCTTACTGCATTGGCATCTGCAGCAATATAATCCTTAATGATCTGCAGTATGTTATCAAATGATTTTATTTTCATCCTAAAGTAGTTGAAAAATTTAGGTTCATGTGTCCGGAGGCTGGGATACAGTGTAAGGTATAAACTTGTAGAAAGTCTGTTCCTTAAAATTGGTTGAACCCAGTATGACCTTTCCCTCCTACGTCATTTCATTCTTCTATATGTTAAACAAACACAAGCAGCTTGTCTCACATCCATTCTGACTAAACACAATAAACTGATACTCGATTACCTATTCTCACTCTATATAAACGCTGTACGAAGTCGTACGCGCGTCATGTGTACACCAACGCAACAAACGTACGCGACGTCGACGCGCGGCATCTGAACTTGGCCTAACTGACACATTAGTTCCTGTCATTTGTATTTAACTGCGATTTTGAGTATTTTGACCTAAGAATGTCGTTTGTTGTCACCAATCCGTCCAAGGTTTGCAGCCATTGCAAATCCATACATGAACGCAAGCAATGTTTGGAGACGCATGCTTCATGTATCTAACTGTCAAGGAATGGTGTCGAAAATTTAAGAGAGAATGAGAGGAGATGAATGATAAGCGCGACCAGACAAGAATGTGGCATGTGTCGAAGGGACGTTTAGAGAAAATCGTCGAATTTCAATCAGAGCAGCTTCAGAAAATGTTGGTTTGAGTATAGAATCTTTCCATAGTATCGTACACAAATTGCTTTAAAGCAAAGTTTGTGCGCAATGGCGGACCAACAAAATCTCGCGGATTGGCTTACCTTTGTAACATCTCACGGAATACAAGGAAACGGTAGAGACGTTATTTCGTCAATAATTGCTGGCGATACATCTTGGTGTCATTATGTCAAACCATCCAGTAGGTTTTCATCGAAGCAATGGAAACGCGCAAATTCTTCACCACCAAAGAAGTTTAAAGTTCAAAATGCTGAAGGCAAGGTCATGTTAACCTTTTTTCCTACCATGAAGGACCCTTGCTCATAGAGTTTAAAGAACCTGGAGTCCATATCAACGTAAACCGGTATAAGGAAACTTTGAACAATCTCCATCAAGCGATAAGGTGCATGACAATACTTGACCTCATGTTGCTAGAGCGGTGAAAAATCTACAACAAAAGAGGATATTGGAGCATCTACCATATAGTCCCGATCTATCGCTTTGTGTTTTTCACACCTTTGGGCCACTGATCGAGGCGTTAAAAGGTAAGCATTTTAAGTCGGACGAAGAAGTACAAAATGCTGTAAAGGAATTCTTCAAGCAGCAGCCACAACAATTCTTTAAGGAGGTTATACATTGGTGAAACAATGGGATATGTGACTTAATTGTGGTGGCAATTACTTGTAGATATATTTGCCAGTAAATTATTTTGTAATCCTTCCTTTCCGCAAAAAGTCCAGAAAAGATGGAATGCAATGCAGATTCCAACTTTCCGGTAGCTCAGTCGGTGGCATGAAGATTTACATTACAATTTTAAAGAACAAAATAAAAGTTTTAAATCTTTGGCGCTGTTACAAAACGATCCACTTATCTTTCGCTGAGCTGGTCCATTTTGACTGGACTGAAGCGAGGATGGTCAGGTGCTTCAAGTGGAGGTCCCAGTTATGAGGGGTGACCTCACATTTAGTAGCTTCAAAACTAGGTGTAGGCGAAGGATGCAGTGAAGTTGAACTTGAACGTGATCTTCATCAAGGATGAAGCTGTAAGTGATGGCGCTGCCAAGGCACATGCATGGCAAAGTGATAGTCCAAGCAATGCAAAGTCAAAGACAAAGAAAGGCAAAGTCAAAGACAAAGGCAAAGGGGATGGCCCCAATCTGAAAAAGAACCGTGTGCATTAGCAACGTGCCCCAATGGCCAAGGCATTTCCAATCTCAGTCTGCCTCAAAAGAGAACCAACGATTTTCTAGGTTAGAATTGCATTACATAGTTTGATAAAATCAAACCGAAAATTGGAAATGCCTTTCATAAAATAAAATAATGAAATAGCAAAAAAAGCGTAAAACAAGATGGTGGTCATTTCTTCACATGCTTCTGATATAAAAACACAAATATCGAATATTCATAATCAACGTACTCATAATTTCACTGAACTATGAATATATATACGCACACAGACGTAAAATCGATGTGGATCGATTTCTACCTCGATTTGATTAAAGTTATGGCGAATGATCGAAGTAGTCGAAAATGACGTTCGATGGATATTTTAAAATCGTACAAGAAATAAACCACTTACATATCGATTATCTATAAACTACAGGCAGATCCAGCAATAAAACTGTATAATATTATAAAACTCACCATTTTATCCTATTTGGACACACATTTTACAAAATGCTGGCACATGGTGCTATATGACCTCATGCTACAGAGAACAAAATTCTCAGCTCTTGTTAGATCGGCGGCTCAAGTGAAAAGGAAGCGTGAGGAAGATCACAGATTAGGAACTCCGCATCAAGCGCGCTCCTAGCGGAAATGTTTGCAAGTAAAAAAGCTAGAGATGGGATGATGGGATAAGGTAGAGATGGGATTAATGAGTTGCGATTCTAAAATGAAAATCGAGAAGTGATTTAATAAATACAATCGGACGGTGAAACCGTTACAATTTCTGTACCAAAGATCTGTTTCAATTGAACGAACCTCGTATGTCCAAAGAACGAAAAGGTAAAACCCTGGTTCAAATCAAGCAGCCTTTGTTGACAACATTTTACTGTATACGCACTGATTTCTCGGATAAGATGTTCACGCTGTGACATTTCAAAGTTGCTTCTTATTCAACTTCTAGGTCGTATTTCTTGTCATCGCTAAATTCCTTTCTCGATCTGCTGTATGTTTCATGGATCTACTTTCTCACAAAGATAAACGCAAAGTCCTGTTAATTAATAGACATGATCCGTTGAGGCTGCAACTAACGTCAAATTCCATCACCAAGTGTCTCAGTCTATATTCACTTTTCCCTGACCTCTTAACAACCTTAAGCACTCCACACCTTTTAGTAATTTATCTAACGTATTTCTCCGCCTAAGCATAATTTAGATAAACGAATCTGTACACAGGTACGAAATCGTTATTGTGTTAAGCTGGCGTTTGCCATACGATGTCGGTATGCAAATCAGCAATGCATTAATTAGGTCTCTTCTTCAAATGTTTGCCGATCTGATATACTATAGGTACGTACGCGTACGTACGTTACTATTGTAACCCCTCCTAATTACCGAGTGTACGTAATACCACTTTCGGAAGTCGCTGAAATATGATCACGGCTTTAGCAGGTGGGCGGCTAAATTCCAAATACGGTTGCTATGAGTTTCAAACTTGGTGGATAAGGGGTGTTTGATTCACCCCCTATCTTGAGGATTATATTGCCAAAGGAATACAAGGGGGTATTAAACTTCAGTCGAGGCACGTAGGAGTCTGACAGTACCAGGTAGCACGTGATTCACAAGGCTGTCAGTATCAAAGTATAGAAGACAAACATGGATGTCAAATGAGAGTAACGAATCAAAGTATCCAGTTACAAAAAGCTAACAGCCAGAAATATATATCTACATATACTAAGTGACATATAAATCCGAACACCCAGTTTAAATGGTTTTATATTAATAAAAGTTGGTGAATGTATTTATCTTACTGTAAATAACAAGTGAAAAAATTTTCAGCCTTATCAGTTGGACATTCCGGTTTTTATACTGCTTTTTTTTAATTCACCAACGCTCTAAAAATGACTATTTCAGCCGCAGTAAAGAATCAACGCTGGCGGATTTTGGTTCTTGATATCCTTTACGACCGGTTACGATGACTAGAGTACGGAGACCTGTACGATTTCGTCAACTTAGTGAGTTTGATAGGGGCCGTATAGTGGGACTTCGGGAAGCTGGACTTTCTTTTCGGGCAATTGCAGTTAGAGTGCAAAGAAGTGTAGATACTGTGGTTAGGTGTTGTCAGGCATGGCTTCGAGAAGGCCGTACGCAAAGAGCAAGGGGCACTGGACGCCGCCGTAGAACAACAGACCGTGAAGATCGCCGCCTAAGATTATTGGCCTTAAGGGACCGTTTCTCCACTACCAGGTCCATTGCAAATGAATGGTTTGCAGAACATGGAAGACCTATTGCCATGCGAAGTGTTTACCGATGAATGAGAAGTTTTGGCTTGTTTTCATACCGACCACACTGGGTCCTCCCTTTAACTCGAGAACACCGACGTAATCGCCTTGAGTGGTGCAGACAACGGTCACTCTGGGATCAGGAATGGAACAGTATTGTCTTTAGTGACGAGTCTCGATTTTGTTTAGGCATGCACGATGGTCGTGCCAGGGTTAGAAGGCGACGTGGTGAAAGGAGGAATCCACAATTTTTTGTTGAAAGACATGTTCATCATACTGTTGGAGTTATGGTTTGGGGTGCTATAGCTTATGGTTCCAGGTCACCTTTAATCTTCATCAGAGGTAACATGAACGGGCAGCGTTATATCCACGAAGTTCTAGAACCCCATCTTCTACCCTATGTTGACACCCTGGCAGATCCAACTTCCCAACAAGATAATGCCCGACCACATATTGCAAGAGTCACAATAGACTTCTTTTATCATAATGATGTCACATTGTTACCATGGCCACCAAGATTTCCCGACTTATCCCCAATTGAGCACGTGTGGGATATGATGGGTAGGAGATTGCTCAATTTTCAACGTCCTCCTCAGACTCTAGAAGCACTTCGAGAGGAGTTGGTGGTTGCCTGGAATGAGATACCACAGGAGGACATTGAGCACCTGATCAGAAGCATGCCTAGGCGCGTTGGAGAATGC